TATTATAACCAAATGAGATAGAAACTTCTGTTTTTTAGTACTGAATAACCACCTTTAAACAAAGAAACCCCAAAAAAATTAAGTTTTGTTCCGTAGAACGACTTTTATAAGCAAAACAATCGGTGACCAGCAACGGTACAATCCCAATGCAACTCACTCCGTACATACAAAGAGAATACAGATACAATATTGCTATACAATACAAGAAACAATAACGCCTCTACAACAAAACAAAACAAATAAAACGAAATATTTCCTAAATCTCTAAATTGGGTAATTCGTAGAGCACGCGAGTAAAATTCTCGTGAAAAGTTGCATTTTAAAAGACACTTGCATGAAAAACTGCAAAAGTAACTACCGATCAGATTGAACCAAATCTCCGACTTTAAGCGTTCAATATTTAAGAGGTAAACATTTACAAGATTTATATACGAAGAGACTAAGCTAACTGTTCTTTCTCGCTTGTTCTCGAAAAGCATGTTCGTTGTTTTTCTTTTTCTCCTCGTACGTTCATCATATGTTCATGAATAAATATGGAGCGAAAAACATGTGAATATATGATTCATTCATGTGAACATATGAAGAGAAAAAGAAAAAGAACGAACATACTTTTCGAGAACAAGCGAGAAAGCACAGTTAGCTTATGAGGGAACCACCCGAAATTATAAATCGGTTTCGGGTGGGACTATTTTTGTTACAAAAGGCTCTAACGAGTAGTGAAATATCCCAACTTCGTTCATCCCTATGGTGCTTTGTTGCTGCGATACTCAATTTTTAGTCGGCTTTTTTTAGTTACGCTTTTGCCTACCGAGCTTATATTATTATACTTATAGCTCATGGTCACAGTAGTATGATGGAAAAATGTTAGGTGGTAATGAATTTTCCTGCCTTGAGATGTTGAGACTCGAATATTTGCCCCTCACCCTTACCTTTTGGTGGAATGTTCGAGTCTCAACATCTCAAGGCAGGAAAATTCATTACCACCTAACATTTTTCCATCGTACTACTGTGACCATGAGCTACAAGTGTGGCAAGTTCGAAATCAAATTCGAAAGTCGGATTTTGCTCAAAATCCAAGCTTTGTAGGGAAGAGGTGACTAAAAATTCAGTATCTCAGCAACAAAGTACGATAGGGATGAACCAAGTTGGGGTATTTCACTAGGCGGTTTAATCAGAAAATTTTTTCTTCAATATGAGATCGGCGAAACACTGACGTTTCTAAAAGCTCTATTTGCAACAGAGCGGACATTTTGTTTGGCGAGTTCCGTCAACGGATGTATAACGGCAGTGTTCTTGTATAAAAAGTAAAGTTCGGTCGTTTATGTAACAGCGATATCACTCAGAAAATATCGATTTATTCACTAACGCTTCGTGATTTCAATATGTGAAAACTAATAGACATGGAACAATAGATCGAGTTTTTTTGTTGGGAAACTGATCATTAGAAACATGTAATGTTGTCAATAGTTTTTGTTTTTTTGAAATCATTGCATAAATAATCCTGTAGCATACGTTTATTTATTCAACAGAACATGTCATCGCTGATTAAACAGCATGGCTTATATCATAGACAACAAAAACTTTTCGTTGTATTTTTTATTGTGAAGTCAGATAATTATTTATTCGCAAGATCTAAATTGAAACTGGGTGTTGCTACTACTTGTAACCTATTACATGTTATCTGCTGTTTTATTGAACACGAATTCTTGATTTAATTTGTAGATGGGTGTCATCCACGTAGTTGCTGCTAAAAACGCCACAAAAAAGCCCAATATCTTTACTATTAAACCGACTTTTATCTAAAGAAGAAGGAGTAAAACATGCTTATTGTCGATCATACTACTTAAATCATCTTACCATATCCCACACACGAAGTGATCCACTAGCAAATACAATTGCATTCGGATTGGAAGCTATGAAAGAGCATAAATTAAATATAGTTCAAGTCTTCGTTTGACATGAAATTATCTTACATATTGGTAGTACGAATGCTAATGATATTGATAGTGAACAGGGTAGTATTAGATAACCCGGATGTACATTCATTGTACGTGCCTAAACAAGAGAAAGAAATTAAGACTTTTTATGTGATAATCTCTCATTTTATTGTAATACATACGACTATATCAAGTATTGGAAAAAATATACTTGCTAAAATAAAAATGGACATAGAAAACTCTATCTCAGATGAAATAACGATAATAGTCTATTGACGAAACACGTTCTGTTTTGATATATGTTTTTATATATCAAAACAGAACACAAAAAAATTACTATTGATAACATCGAGTTGATTGTTCAACTTCAGTCGTCGTACAGAACATAGACACAGAACAGTGGATGTAGTTTTGCAGTTTACACCAAAGTTAAATTCATGTGTTCGAATCTCTCTATTCGTACAAAACTGATTTTGTGTTTTTCGAGAGTTTTAATTTAGAATACTATAATGGAATATTTTCCACTTGTATTCTGAAAGAACGAAGTTTATTTTACAAACCTGTTGACAAGTTGCTTGTAAATTCTGTAAATACTCCACTGATTACAATAATAATTAACATAACAACAGATTTTGATAAATTATTTAAAAATTTTAAAGATTCAGCCACTGATTCCGACAATTTTGATACCTTCAGACATACATCTAACAGATTTAAATGCAAAACAGCGAAAACGGAATCAATATTTACCTGAAAAGCGTGAGCAATTGCTAAACCAGCACCAAGAAGAAATAATGTTCCCCATGGAAAATTTGTTGTTAATTGATGCCACGAAACAATTGGCTTATATTTCCAGTTTTCTATAAGAATAGTTAACTCTCAATAAGAAAATTTTGGATTATGTTAAAACAAACTTTTAAATGGTTTCTCATTCGGCCATATTAATGGTAAAATTCCAATTAATAACGCCACTGTACCATCTGAAACAAAGCTTTCAGACGCAAAATAGTTACATCATACTGTAGTTTACTATTGGTAAATACTTTGAACGAAATATTATACTCCATCCGTTAGTTCCACCAAAATCTCTTGTAACCCAAAGTAGTATTAACAAAATGAAAAATATGGCAATTGTACATTCACTCCATCTATGTTAACATAAATGTACATTAAGACAGACAACTGGAGTAATGGGCGTTTGTGTTTGTATGAGACACTTCTGAAACTATTCTCCTAGTATGAAAATATAACCCTGTGAAAGACTAGAGTTTTATCATAAACCGAGAATTCTTTATACAGCAATATGTACACAACGCACTTGGAATGGGAAAGAGGTTATGTATCAAACGGAAAGAGGTTCGTAAATAAACATTTTCTAATAAAACTTTTTACAATAGCATTACATACAATTTCATCGGGGTCTTAAATACATTTATCATGGGATTTGAAATAATCCTTTTCGACATTCTGTTGAATTTTCACAAATAAAAGTAAGTCTAAGATATATTGTTAAAAATCTATCTTAATAACAGTAGACCAGATTTCGACCAGAATTTTAGTTCTTAATTATATAAAAGTGGGATGATCAAATTTGTTTTGTCTTCGTCTATCTCTCTTAGCGAGACCTCCTCATGTAAGGCTGGTTAAATTTCTAAAAACTTTTCAACCAGTAAGGTAATGAACAGTTCCATTTAGTCTTAAATTAACCTAACACTTCTAGGTGCAGCGCGCAGAGTCAGACTTTTGAATATTTTTGTCTTATTAGTTTTCAGGAGGCATCGCAAGTCAAAACGTGCAAAATATACCATTCAATTTTTTAGAAAAATTCTTCACTTAAGTACTAGTAGTCTGAAATTTGAAAATCCTATGCTGCGTTCATAACGGTTAGCTTTAACTTAAAAGCATCTTGAGCTCTCCAACATTTATCGGGAAGGAGTTCTTGAATTACTACAAACAGGCATTAATGAAAAACACGATTAAAAGATCTTGTACATCTGCTGGTGCGTTTCAGAGCTTATAACTTTTAACGCAAGGCGCTCGAGAGTTGCGCAACGTCTTTTCTTGACTAGAAAAGATTTCTCTTAAAATCTATGCGATCAGAAAGCAATTAGTTGCGTTTGCATTCGGAAAAAAAACTAATATTTGAAAGCCTTATTTATCTAGACTCTGTGGAACTTACTAGAACCGTAACGCATCACCTTTAAGGCAGAAGCAAGCAGTATTTAAGTGTGTATTTTTAAGTTTGCAGGAGGCTTCAGCGGGGGTTGATTGAGCTTTTGATTCGTTTTTCAGTTACAGAAGTTTGTTCAAAAATGCAGTAATTCTTATACCACTGGTAAACATAGCTTTGGTGACAGGATCGCTGTTTTTTCTCTTCTTTTTACCAATGTATAAAACCTTAGATTGATTTCTTCATAGGTGCATCTTCTTCTAAACACGTATTGGCGATTCTAATAAGATCGAAAATTATGGTTCTAAAATCTTCTACGCTTGCAGATGAAATGTAAATACTTGAGAGTAAAATCTGTTAATACTCGTACTATAACCAGACATAAACAGATCAAGAGAATTAATAATTCATTCTCATTAACCAAACATGTGGAGTACCAATACTTTGAAAACTGTTTGATTCAGAGAAATCATAAAAAATACATTTCTACTTCGAAATATCGTCTCCGGTATCTGCACTAAAATTCTCAGTAGGAACAGATGAAGTCCTTAATGATCTCTTACATACAAGGATTAAAACATCTATAGAGTACAGAAAAGTCGTAGAAACTTATGTCAAAAAAAACGTTGACTTGGTTTTTGATGTTCTGTCTCTAAGGCTCAGTCAGATCTTTGCCGCAAAGACAAGAAAAGAGAGAAGGTTCTCCTCCGTCTGGTTTTTCAAAACATATGACACTGAGTAGCCTCAGAACACTAGAAAAACATACGGGGAAAAACTTTGATATCGATTGATAGTAGCAATCATAAAAGTAAAGGTAAGGGAAGTTTGGACTTTATTCTTGTAAGTGATAGTGTATGGAATACAAACCTGACAGGTCCCAACTGATTGTATTGTCTTTTTAATGTATTTTTCAACTGACTTTGTGCTTGACGCATTGCGTCATCAATTTTACATTGAAATAGTCTAAAATACATGGATCAACTAGATGGGAACTACTATCCGTACCAGTAAGCAGTGTTCCTGGCTATTTCGCGAATAACTTTTGATAGAAGAGTGTCAGAGACTTGCCGTTTCCAGTTTTTGAATTTAGACACTTGAAGACGTCTTTTAGCAAGCGAAAAGTCCTTCTCCAAAAGTTGAAAACCTGTTTTCCAGAGGATCTTTGAAAAACTACCCGTCGTTTCGAAATTTTCCATAGAATTTTTCTTTCTTTTTTACATGAGTCTGTACATCTAAATGTTCTCTTTATAAGTCCGAAATAATTAAGTTTCTATCTCTCAAGGTTTCGAAGTTACAGGCGTTTTCCGAGGACAGGTCTGTTTCGTTTTGGTCAACTTGGCCTAACTCAAAAACTCATCAGACCTAGATAATCAACCATGTTGATCACCGTGGCAATGTTTGTTTTCGTGTGTAAATCAAAATAAGGTCAGAGAGTGAAAAAAGCTGAAAACCGGTTTTTGACAATTTACCTGCATAAATTAAAAACTCTTTAGCTCGATCATTTTAACTTTAGTAAGGCTTAAGCTTTCAAAAGGAACTCAGAACAGACTAAAAATCGCCGCTTCAAATATGCATCATTCGATAGAGAATGTCATGCTGATTAAGAATATGTTATTTTGAATTTTTTAGTGCGCATTATCACCGAGAAAAATTTAAAATACTGAGAGGGACTATCTTTTCGAAAATCCGCTAACCTTTTTAAAAAGAGGTGTAACTCCGCTTCAAATGGATTCAGACCTTCACAAAGGTGTTTTTCTTGATCAGCGTTTAAAACTGCATCTAAAAAAGTATTTTTGAAGGTTCCAGATGAAACAATAACTTCTGGGCACGTCGCTTTTCATCTACACCTTTTGTTCGACGGTACTCATCTTGCAAGCCACGTGAAGCCTTTTGGTTAAGAGGTACTGACAAGTTTTATAAGTTATTCGCTTCGCCGTCCAATTTAGAACAAAAATATAAAGCACTTTTTGAAATTTTTTTCGAACAATATCTGTTTCGAAAATTTTCGACCTAAAAATTCGAAAAAACAAAGGTGGTCGGATAGGATATAAAAGTGTATCAGTCGGCTCGGTTTTCGACGCTAACTCCGAATATATTATTTTATTGCATAAGAAATGAGTTTTGATAGAGAAACTAGAGAATTACGGGAGAATTCCGAATTTTTCTCTCGTGATTCAGACAAACTGTACTTTGTCAGGAACGAAAAAAGCGCTTTATACTTTTGTTTTAAATTGGACGTCGAAGGGAATAACTTATAAAACCTGTCACTACCTCTTAACCAAAAGGCTTCAC